CGTGAACAGGATGCCCCTCCTCGTGTTAACTACGCTTTTAGAAGATTTGCATTAATTTTCACCTATAATGCCTTGAGCTGTACGTTTCCTGAAGGAAGCTGATTACCCGTGATGCAGAATTCACGTTTCTAATTATTGTTTCAATAAAACCAATGGAAACATAAATCTAAATACTGAAACCAGGGTTGTATTTCTTTAATCACAAAATGAATTATGAATTTAGTGAATTTCATTAATTAACTATTTTGATCATTTCTTATCCCGTTAATAACAAAATTATTGAAAAACATTCACAATGGTAGTCCATCAGAATTAACTGGAGGGATGACAGCAGAATGCAATTAAATTCGACTCGATTTTAATTCACTTATTCTATTTACTCTTCGTTTGGTTTCCGCCTGGCGATGATTAAATTAGATTTCAGAGGATTAAAACAATTCTAAGAATTCCGCGCCTAAGTTGACGTTTAAATAACTCAACGAAGCACCGCAAAGTTAGATATAATTTTGACGATACTCTAGTCTCTTCAACGTCCGCACGCGTAACATGGGGGTGGAAGATGGCACACGCTACCCTCCGGACTTAAAGTTCCGCGAAATCGAGCAGCTGTCCTGTCAGAAATACAGAGAATTCCTGCGAATGCGTTCTTCCCTGACGACTTTTCGTGCGATTCTTGTTTTCTCTCGGGGAAAGAAAAGATGGAAGTTGGTAGCTGCAGGCTCTCGCGTGAATTACGAGATTGGCCAGATTCGGGGCGTCCAATTTAAAGCGAGTGCCGCTTATACGATTTTCCCTTATCTCACGACGAATTTCTCTGCGAGGGATACGAGGAGAATTAGCGAGTTCTCCCATGAAAAATCCCCCTTCTCTCAGAACTTTAAAAACTGTCCCCACTGCTGCACCGAGATATTCAGCTGTTTCGCAGCTTGGAATAATTTCATCCCTCACTTTTTTGGTCCGTCGTAAAGCGTTCATTATTGCATAACATTATAAGTAGTGAAAGCTTTCAACTCGTTTTCCTATTTACATCTATATTTTTGAGGTCTCTTTTAAATAAAGGAATGATTTATTGAAAATCTGTCACACAGTATAAGGAGTTCGAATGGTTGATCAAATAGAACATTCAAATATTCTCCTTCTATTGGATATTTACAGAAATAAAAACAAATTTGAACATCTTTTTCTATGCATAAAAGAAAGACAAAAGATGAACTTATTATTCCAAACATCTTCATTGAAGTGAGCAAGGTGAGTTCTTGTTGCAAAGATTATTCCACGGTATAACCAGTCATCTTCCTTTGTATCCCGATTCTCGTTCGTGCTGTCGCGATACATCCGGAACAACGGGAGCCACCCGTGACAAATTACCCTCGAAAACTACCGACCGAAAGAGAAACAAAACTATAGACACTAGGATGATGTATTAACGCGTCCGCTTCCTATACTTCTGAGTAGCTTCTACTTCTCGCCCTTTGACGAGTTAATTTCGAGGAAACGTCGCCCAAAAAAAGTCATAACGCGCTGACCTTATAAATTCACTTCCGTCTCTTTAAAACAAGAATCTTACCAAGCTCGAGAGTCGCAAAGAACAGTTATTATAGTAATTCATTTACAATTATTTATATAACGGTTGATACAACAATTCGTATACTAATCGATATCACATTTTCTATAATGGTTGTTATAATAGTTGATATAGTAATTGATAAAATATTTCGTGCAATGATTGATAGAATATTTGATACAATAACTGATTAAATTTTTGTTATTAACTATGGGAGTTAACGAGAGAGATTAAAACTGGATTTATGTAAATGAGTGAATGTATCTAGACCTTTAGTTTTAAATGGCGCATAAACTTTCTAGAGAAAGATTCAACAGTCCAAAGTGCGAAGACTTTCGAATAATCTAATTCCACCTCCGACAAATTTTTCTTTGCTCTTTGTTAAACGTCGCATTAAATTTACACGACCCACTTCCTGGCCACTCTTTGTTCAGAAAGCGTGACTCCGTTCCCGAAAACGCGACTCTGAATCAGTTTCAAGTGACGCACGTAGGATTTCGAAAAATGGTTACACTTATATATATATATATAACAAATAAATAACAAAAACTTCGCAAGACGTTAAAATCCAATTAATAATTTGTAAAAGAATAATAAAATTATTTCTATAAAAATGTTCCAATTACATCATAAAATATCAAAGATACATAGACTTAAACTACCGTTTTTAAGTATCGGATAAACAGTGAAATTTGAGGCTCCAGCCAAGAGTCGGGTAACGAAGTCTTAACGAAGTAAAGGATCGAGTATAAAAAAAAAAGCATCGATCTTCTAGACGAAAAGTTGTTTTAAACTCGAGTCCGGATACTTTTACGATGTCAGAGACTTGCTAATGTAGAGAAGGAAAAACGAAAAAATGTTTCGTTTAGGGTGAGCGCTGTGAAATCGAGTAGAACGAGGGAAAGTAGAATGAGACCGTCACTCGTCAGACACGTGGAGCCAGTGAAAGATGGCCGGATAATTCGACGCGTCGATCGCTTCAGAACGCCATAACTGATCCCGAAACATAAAGAGTGGTCTCCCTCTTCTGCTTTCTTCATTTATAAAGCGACCGAGTTATTTACAATTTACTGTTTTATAATTAAACTGCGGATTTTTATTGCAAAATATTAATAATGTCACTTTAAAAATGCAATCTAGATAGGAATTTCTTTGGTCTTTTAAAAACAGTAACATGCATCTCATATTTTATGCGTTCTTACATATTGAATGCAATTTCTACATTCTCTACGGATACAATTTTGCATTAAATGATAACTCATTTTCCGTGTGTTTCCGGTTCGGAGTTTTCTTTGTATTTTTCTTCAACGATTTCGCCTGAACAAAGTTCATCTCCCAGCAATGGACGATATCTTTTCCGGCTTCGGTGGAAATCGATATCATTCCAGCAAGTTTTCTACCTTCTCCCGGAGGTAAAACTCGATCTTTTTCAAAGGGCAACGCGAAGCTTAATTAACCCTGGAGTACTCGACATTGCCTCTAATCTTTCACAAAGTTCCAAAGATTTTTAACGCCTCCGAGAACAGGCGGATTGTTATTCTAGTCCGTGATTCAAGCATCGCCTCTCGAGGAATTTAACGACTCGCGGTCTCGATCGAATTTGTCGAATTCTTCAGATTCTTTTAATGCTTTAATTGTACATAATTCCGATTAATCATTAATCAGATCTGGTACTAAGCAGTGATTCCAGAATTTATAATATAATTCACAGTGTTAATTCTCTTTCGATAACATTCTTTATCCAGTGGTCTTCCTTAAGTAATAACTATCAGGACCTTCTAAGAGAGCAGTCAACTCTTTCCCTGTATTTCTGTACTCACTCAGCCACGATATATTCCTCCATTTGTTTCTGCTCTTTTGTTAACGTTAAATCCAGCCTCATTTGAAAGTCGAACTACCCACCATCGGCACATCCTCCGAGCTTTCTTACAGCGCTACATCTCAGTGCGAACTCTTGCAGCGATCCATCTCACTTTCTGTCGGCTCTACCTCTGTTTTTCCCACTTCCTTCCTGAATTATGATTTTCGATAGTTCTTGTCATGCTTCATCGTGCTCTTTCTTCTTACATTTTTTTTATCAGACTGTTCATTCGTATTTCTTGATATTATTTCTCAGACTCCATATAACTGGAATTTTACAATTAAACTTTGCGTTCGTAGAACTATATTTTGTAAGCCTTTTCGATTATCTCTATCAGCTTGGTTATTCCTATCAATCAGCCACGGATTTCCACTTGGTGTGATTTTTAATGAAAAATCGTTTTCACAACTTTTATTCATCGGGTCAGAGAAAACGAGCAGCGGCACCGCGATTTTCTCTCTCTCACGTTTTTCCGGATTCGTACGGTCTAACGAACGAATTGCGTGGGCTGGACGATCCTTTTTACTCCGTTCAAATCCGACGCTTTTATAACAAGCCTTTCGAACGTGGAAAAATCCTAACCAGAAAAATCAGCGAAAAAAAACACACGGGCAATTAATGCGTTTGATACGGGTTATTTCATTTCCAACAGCGAGTATTGATTGATTTAAAATGATCTTGCCTTGTTTGGCTAATCGAACCATTTCAGGAATGTCATTTTTGTGCTGCAATTTGTACACAAAACTTTATTTTTAACGTCAGTTAAAATAAAATATAATTCAATAAATAAATTTAATAAATAATAATTTAAATAAATAATAATCAAAAAAGAAGAAAATCAAAATTGAAAGATGATATTAATGATTAAACGGATTAGCAACACGATTTTAAGCAAGGGGTTAAGAATAACGCGTCCCGTTCCGACATCAAAGCGCTCATAATTTCCTTCACGGATAGATGCGGAAAAAATTTTAACCCTTTCGCTACGGCACTCCGCTCCGCCGAAGTAGTCCTACTAAACGGGGCACCGCGCCGAAAAGTGTGCACATTGCCGACTATAATTATATATTTGATATGTAATTGATGTCGACTATAGTCGACGCTCATCCACACAGGACATCGCGTAGATGTCGACTAGATGTCGGTGCTCGTAGCGAAAGGGTTAACTACGATTCTCAGTGTCCGGCACGAATCGCTACTTCAAAGAGACTGAATTTCATTGAACCGTGCACCGGTGATTGGATCAGCCCAAGTTCGTTCCAGCTGCGTGTTGCTAAAATCTCGACTAACGGCGGAATCTGTGTGAACCCTGTTATAGTTTGCAAACCGATGATTCAAAGAGCATTGGCTAACGAATATCAAATTCTCGCGAAGCGTAAAAAAAAATAACAGTAATACTTATCAATATTTTTTACAACATAAAATTGTCCTGTTCTATCTTTTCATAAAAACTTTTAATAAAACCTTCCTTAATTCGTGTCTCTAAAAATTAGTGTTCACGTAACAGCTAAATAGTGCCTACAGATTTTGACATAAATGATTTATTTAAAAAAGAGACAGAGAATGAACACTTACCTCTGAGTATCTGGTAGAGGAAGACCTTGATGTGGTCGGGGCTGAGATGCTGAGGACTGACGATGATCTTATGCAGGTCACTTTGCAGCAGCTCCGTGATCACGTATCTGTACAAGTCAATCGTTAAGGAATTTCATGAAACAATTATCAAACGTTAGCTTAAAACTCGAACGAATCTCAAGTAATTAGCTGATTCTTTTACGGCACCATTTACACATTTCTCGATTATTACTGATACGAATAAAAATTCCTAGTTCGATTAAATCTGCTTCAAGCTTCCAATAGGATGGAATTAAATTTAAGTATGAAGTGTTAAGATAGTTGAAAAATAATTACTGTCTATTCATTAATAAAATATGAAATCCAGTAAGAATTTCCTTCAAACATTATTTATAAATTTGCATACGCATCTTACAATACATAGCTGCGGAAATACTTGCAATGTTCGATAATCGACATACAAATTATGCAATTATTCTTGTTAATATTGTAACATGAATTGTCAAAATACTTCTCATTAAAAAGAAAGTTGGCTTTCTTAGAAGCTTCGTTTTAAACACGAAATCACGAGAACGTGAATCGAGATTCCGCACATCTTTCAGGACGAAGACCTTGGTAATCGGGTAGCTCTCGTTCCTGATCCGGCGGGCTTAATGGATTCCTTCGTCGGCCTCGAACAAGTTAATCCATCGAAATGAAGGGAGAAAAATGAAGAAGGACAGAAGACCTAAGGAGAGGGAGAATAATCGAAGCCGATGATGCGGCCGTGACGAAAGTAAGTAGCATCTGGCCTTAATAAACCCGGTGGGGTAATTTACAGCGCTTGGTACCCCGACCTAGGGGGTGGGAGAGAAACTTCTTCAGAAAGTAAAGTTCTATCGCTACTGTTACCGCGGACAATGGCGAAAGGAAGCTTCGCGTTACCAAAAGCATTTTGTTCACGAAACCACTTTAGACAGAACTAGTTATTTCATATTTAATTCCATTTAACGAACGTAGGTTAATTTCAAAGATCACCGAAAATAACACAGTTAGCGACTGTTCATACACGATAATAATTTTATAAAATTGATGGTATCCGAATACAAATATATTATCTACAGTTTTTACATTAAATACCCTCAGGCTGATTTGCAAGATTGAATAGAGATCTATAATACTATAATTTTCGTGTAAAACAAATTATTTTCCAATTAATTCAATCGGCGCAAAGAACCGCGAGATTTCGGGAACACGAATCGCCAAGTTTGGCAATTACCAAAGAGTGACGGTAAAATCGCGTGCCACCCCCTGTTCGCAAGAAACTTATCGACTTTTCCCGGCGCGCGACGTAACTTGTCTCCGTAATTTCGCGAGAGAGCGAGACGAAGAGAAAGGGAGGGTTGTACGTACTCGATCGACGAGCCACGCCACGAAGAAAGGGTGGAACCGGGAGAGCAAGTTTCGCGATAAAAAGCACTCGAAAAGTTTCCTCGGCTACTCCAACGATACCGGAGCTAAAAGCGGAAGCAAAGCTACAGCCGCTTTTTTGTACTTGCGTAACGATTCACGCGATTGATCAAATGTTTCGTATAGACTTGTCGAAAGCTGAGAAACATCCTTTCAAATGCAATAGAGAATGAATTGGATTCTTCTGGGTCTCATTAAATTACTTCATTATAATCGTTTCTCAAGTAAAATGTATTCGAAACGATTTATGAGTGGATCAAGGATAGTTCGTCTATGATTAGACGCCTTCGCGATCGACCTACAATTGACTCGCGTCCTTCGAAATTTCGTTTTTACTTCTGGGAACGAACGCGACGAGGCATAGAGGGAGAACGCGAGAGGGAGTGAGACGTAAGGTCGAGGGAGAATGAAATAGTATAATGGCGGAATGAGGTCGACTGGTAGGTTGGAATGCAGGTAGAGGCTGGCTGGTTGCGAACCTGACGGTGGTATGCAAGCCGTCGACTGGTCCGGCTGGCTTCGGACCTCTGGAACACCTCTAAGCGCTTTGCCGACGTTCCACGCCGCTTTCGAACTGCCATGCCGTCTGCCTCTTTTTGAAATACGATCGATGGACCTCTTTTGCTGGCTACGCTCGTACCGTTGATATTTCCAACTAAGAGGCGCGTCGCAACAACCGGAATCAAACGCACAGTGTATTCCAACGAGATAAACCAGTACATAGCTAGTAGGCATGATCGACACGAATCCCTAATTTATGGTACTGCCTCAAATAGGATCAAGTGCGTTCGCTATGTTACAAGATTAATTAGTGTCTAAACAGACATCGATATTAGTAATTATTAACAGAAAATCAATGATTCGTAAAATATACGTCTATTTCTGCAACGATGACGTTTAAAAAAATGCATTAGAAAAGGTGCGAACAATAGAGTTCCCAGTTTTACGTTCGCGGAAACATTGGCGTTATTTAGAATTTTCCTGGTCGAGATTAAACCGCGAAATTTCAAGTTCCGGGAATAGAGTGTCGACGTCAATCTCGCCGCGAACGATCGAAGAGGGGGACACGAGAAAAGAGACAATTAAAAAGAACGCAATCGTGATTTGTTCCCATCGACAACCGGTCGAAGGCTCGACAAAGACTTAACAATCCGTTTTGATAAACGTCGATCGGTGATAAAACGATCCTCGAGAACGACCAATTGACGCTCGTTCTTTGAAATTCGAATAGAGTACAATGACGCTCGAACCGAGCAAGAGAAATGTATTTTCGTGGTACATTTGTAATGTCAAATACATTCGACAGGGGATTCTTATCTTGCCGCGTCAGAGAAACGGAGAATCGTCGCAAGTCGGGTGACGCGTGTCTCCCATTAAACACTGTCGATAGCACAGCGAAAGTTACGTTTCTTACTTCTGCTAAAACAATAGATTATCTACGATGTAGATGGATCACATCTTTCGTACCACTTCCTTTCTTAGAAAAATTGCGGAGCTTTCACCACGAAGTTCCTGTCAGCAGTTTACATTTATCTGTTCGCGAATGTCGTTAACTGCGTCTTGGTCACTTGTCATTCGTCGCGTGGGTGTTTCTTCAAGGAGGATGATCGCTTTATTAACGAACGTTCAGCAAATTCGATCACCGGTAATCATATAGCAGCACGCTCTTTTGCATATGACACATTAATCTTGTCCGCGATTCATCTCAATAATTGACTGGTCCAGATGAGTGAATTAATAGTACCAATCAATTAAATTAATACTATTATATGAATGCACGTCTGTGTGGCATAGAATCTATTTAATACATGAAAGTAAATACAATTAGCTCTGATATGTATGCGAAATTTCTCAAAGTAGCTTTCATTGAATTATAGAATTTACAATGTAAAGATTTGTTACAGCTTTTAAAACTAGGTTTGTACATTAGTTTCTACTGTCCCAGGTCACGAATGTACTTTGCGATGACAAAAGAACGGCATTATTTTTATCTGTAAAGATTTTGAGTATAATAAACATTCCTATATTAATCAGAAGAACAAATTGATCATATTTCATTATTATGTTAATGCGGCCTGAAATTGAAATTGCACGATAAAATGGATAATCGTACCATTACAGTAAAGATGACTTTGAATAAAATATCAGGCCAAAGTGGGCGTAGACACGTTTCACGAATATCGATGCAGGCTTGAGGACGTCGCTAGAGTATCTGCGTTATTCTAATAACACGACCTGTCCGGTACTTAATCAATTAACTATGAACGGCCGCTAACCTAACGCGGCTACCACTATCCAATTAGCATAGATTATCAATATTACTCGGCTCGGACAAATATTTGCACTAGCCAAAGACTGCAATGCGAGACAGCGCAATTATCTGGAGCAAGAACAGAACATTCCCCGAGGATTCACTCTGATGATCAATCTTAAGCAACTGTAATTTCCGATCCGTTCCTCAGAATATTTTGAAGCAATTTAAAAGATATTAATTTGTCTCATAAGTTTTAAAAATAGGAGCGTACTACATGAATAGTAAATTCAATATTTTAATTCTGAACTGAATTCGTTTTATATAAACCATAATTATGTTAATTATTTGCATTACTTGAATATATTTCAGATTTTTAACAATATTCATAATTTATCCTTTTGACGTTATCGAATTCCAGCTCTTAAAACATTGCTTTTAACGAACTTATTCGCGTTTTGAATTCTTTCATAGACCTTTGATTCCGCGACTTTCAATCACCGTTTACTGTTCACCCCCTTCTTCATATCGGGCTTTTATCCAACGAGCGCAACGCTAGCTGCGCTCTGATTTCTACCTCCGCGAAACTTTTTCGCAGCCACAACAAATAAAGCTTAACGAAACCGCAATATTTTTACTTGCACATATTTCATTTCCGTTCTCTTTCCCGCTGTGAGGGTCGATACACGACCCCGGATTCTTTTTCAGGCATGCGTTTTTCGCTATTAATTTTCACCAGTCCGTGGTTCGAAATCATCGCCCAGGCTCTTTGATCAACATCCCTCGCGCAACTCAGCAAGCGTGAAAGAAGGTTGATTTCAAGTCATTTCTGGCTCGTTACCTTTGATCTCGTCATTTTAAAAACCAAAGAGACGCAGAAGTTAACAGATTCTTCCTGAAACGATATGAAATACCGCCGAGATCCTTTTCTTCGCGTTTACCTCTGTACGTCTCAAAGTTCCTTGCACCCACTACTTTTTTCGTTTAAAACCGTTCCTCGAAAATTGCCACCCGCAACGGCGGACGATACAGATCAAAGCTGAAAACTTTTTCAAAGATCCTTTTCGAAAGAGCAACCGGCGCCGTTTCTGGTCAAAGCGTTTCGCGAAAAATATTCGAAACTTTGTCTCGATTTCTGTCGTGCCGTTTCACCCTCAGACAACCTTTGACGCGAAACTTCGGCCAAGGAACTTGTAAAACCGATGGAACACGCTTTCGAAAAGACGATTCGAGCGTGATCGATTCGAGTGCTAACCAGAGAACAGGTCAAGTCGTAGGTACGCGAGATTAACCAGAAGAAAAGAAAGAAGGAAGCAATTGATCCACGAGCTCGCTCCTTCCAACCCTCGTATCTTCCAAACGTAAAATGCAGCTTAATTTTATGTTATTTAATCATCAAAAAGCAAG